GTTTTTGTAATTAAACACTAGTCTTCATTGTTTTTTCCATATACTTTATTTTGATTTAATTTGTTCTTCAGTTTTAACTTCTAATGATGCATGCTCAGATATTGATATTCTGCTTTCTTCTTTCTAATATATATATTTAAGACAATCAATTTTACCATAAAGATATTTGATATGTTATATTTTCATTGTAATTCATGTAAAATTATGCCTTGTGATTTCTAACCTGCTCATATGTTTTTATCAGAATATTACTGGATTAAAATTATAAGAACAAATATATTTAGTGATTTTTATTCACTGTACACTGTGGCTGGATAATTTGTGATGATGAAACATTTTATATCAATTAAAATATAGCTAATGTAACCAAGGAATTGGTTTTTAAATTTTATTTATTTTCAATGAATTAAAATTAATGTAACTTTAGTATTGCAATTTTCTACCGGTTTGTGTTACATGAAAGACGTTTTCTTTTTACTTTCATCTTTCCTTTTATGCTTATATTAAAGGTTTGTTTCAGAAAGATTAATGGATTTAAACAATGTGATCTATACACACACACACACATATATATAATGAAATAACATACAGCCTTAAAAGAAAAGAAAAGCTTGTCATGTGCGACAACATGGATGAACCTGGAGGACATGTTTCATATTTGAACTAAAAATTATTCTATTTACATTTAATGTAATTATTATTTATTTGGGTCTGTCATTTAATATTTTCTTCTATTTGTAACTACTCATATATATTTTATTTTCTTTTTATCTCCTTTAGAATTAAATACTTTTTATTTTTTCACTTCTCTGTATCAGAGGTTGTTAATTCAATATACCTTAACTATACTTTCAGTAGTCCTCTGTATTTTACAACATTTTTTTTTTACTTATTACATCTAACAAATTAGTACTTTTACCAATTCTCAAACAGCAGAAATAGCTTATTACCCTCTTTCTTTCCTTACTGCTTGTTACCCATTTGCTTCTTTTCAAAGATGTTTTTCAACTAGAATCTTTATCATTAATATTTTATCTAGTCATAGACATTTAGATATATTCACTAAATTTTATTTCTTTCAACTCTTCTTTTCATTCTACATATCCAAGCTTTTATCTGGCCAAGTTTTTCTTCTGTTCAAAGAAAAATATTTCCTTTGTGAGACTCAGTAACAACCTTTCTCATTTTTTATTTACTTCTTAAAGATAACTTTCTTTTCCAATCATATTAGGATATTTTGAGTAGTTATAAATTCTATTTTAGCCATCTCTCCCAGGATACTAGAGTCTGCTATTATAAGCAATAATCACAGTCATATATATTTATACTACATGTATTAAATATATTATTAATATTGTTCAATAATATATTTATGTTATATTTTTATTTATTATTACACTATTAATTTATTAATACATAAATATTTATTATAGAGTTACATACAGAGAGTTATAGCATGTAAAATAAATTCCAACTACTACATATTTTGAGTAGTTTTTATCTTTAGATATATATATATCAAAGAAAATCTTTTACAGAATTTTCAATTTACTTTGAGTTATTTTTGTTGTTCTTTTATATTGTCTGAACATAGATTTTACTGAAGTGTAAATGCCAGAAGAATCAATCATATTGGTCCATATATTAAGTGTATGGTGTATACCATTATTTAAATGAATACATGAAAATGAATGTCTGTAGAAATAGTAGACATAAATGTCTTCAATATAAAGAGAGCAATAGTGAACCTCAACTTATTTGGCATTGTCAAGAAATGATTTCATTGTGTTAATTCTCTAAATTGAGTAATAGAAAAAGTAGAGCAAGAATATTATTAATTTACTTTATGAAAAATATCATAAATAAAAATACGATTATTTCTAATAAATAGAGTTGCACACGCTTACATAAATATATTTAGTTTACAAAAAAATAATGAAATATAATTAATAGACATACACCTGTAGCACGCCAACATGAGCAATTATAATTAAAGATACAAATATTAATCCTGATTCTGGAGACAGGAGTAAGGCTTTAAATGCCATTTTTCTAGATTTAAGAAAACTTAAGATTTAGGTTTGAATCTGAACTCAATTTTCCATAGGCTCTACGGAAGTGAATATCCTTAAGAATGATGAATAATAAACATTCTCCTTTTTATTGACACAAGATGAAGAATGATTTAAAAATTACATTTTATACAATATAGATATTTTGAATTTAAAAGTTTGTTTCTTTGATGTACCAGTGTCATTTATCTTGTGGTTTAAAGTCTTCTTTTTCTGCCCTCCACGTTAATTAGGTGACATTTTTTGAAAATTACCTTTTCTTGTGCTACACAGTTTGACTTGGGTTTGTCATTTACACCACCTATATTCCTAGTAAAACATAGACAACTAGTCATGATTGGAAGATGAATTAATGAATGATATCAATAGTTATTTAATATTTCAATCTCAGGCATGATGATGTAGTTCAATATTGTATATATTTTATCTTTCCAAGAGACATTTATTTTTATCAAAAGAAATCTGTGTATCAAATTATTCATTCAAAAGAATAAAATTGAATGCAAGAACTAGGGCAGAGAAATAAGTATGTTATTTTTGGAATGATAGACTTTGTGCTAGGTATGTAGTAATATCTCAGAATAATTACTGACTAATATCATGAAATAACTATTGAAAATGAGATTGTGATTCTTAGAATTTTTTTCCATGATAATACAAATGAAATAATGCGAATATGAGGAAAATAAGTATTTAATGCCACGACTTAGCAACCTAGTTCTAAAAGTAAAATTTAAGATACTTAACAAGCAAAAATTTGCAGTGTTTGTGATTGAAATGGAAACAAATTAACTGCATGAGTGGATAAGCCTCTGTCTGCCCTCTCCACCCCATATCTTTTAGAATATGAAAACAATTTCTCAGAAACACTTGAAAATGGGCCATCTAAATGACACACTTAGAAGTCTACCTGTCCTCTCAGTTGGAGCCCAAAGTCTCCTATATTCTGGAGGTGTGTGATGAGATAAACTGATTTCAAAATAGTGAAAGTGTGAGAATTTCCTGTTCAAACCTTAAGTCACACATTGATGAGATATTTACTTTTTCCACTCTTGCTTCACTCTGAGCCTTCATAGGTCAGTCTGTGAAGGTCACAGATATTGTTTATTCTGGCCCTGAATTTTACGTTTTTAAATTTCTCCTTTTATTATCCAGCTACAGCAGGCCTCTTTTATGAGAGTCACCTGCCCTTCCTACTAAAAGATGCACGACTTTCTGGCTGACAGAAGGTATGTGTCACTACTCTTCTGTCTCTCTACTAGCCCATCTCATGTAGTGGGAGATTACAAAGTCTATGTGTGATGCAGCTGAGGTAATATTCACCTAAATCAAAGTAGAATATTACTGTTTTCATTTGAATAATTCAGAATAAAAAATAACTATAAAATATTAAACGTACTGAAAGATTTCTTAAAGTATCCAAATTATTGCTTGTAGAAAATTAGTCAAGTGCAAACACACATGCATATTTGGATTTGTAAATCAATATACTTTAAAGTGAAACCCATGAACATCATAACAAGGAATAAATAGTTTTGGATTTTATAATCAGTACAAGGTGTTTTGTTATATAATAATATGTTAATTTATGTTTTGCCCAACCTTTATAAATAGATTTTGTATGGTGAAAGCCAAACACAACTCTTTATACATTTACATAGATTGAATAAAAGCAGTTTGATTTTTAATAAATATCGGGATGAAGTAGCTTCTGTAAAATGCTAAACTAAACTTAATTATAAACAAAGAGCTTTTAAAATAGTTGAACAAACACTGCAACAAAGATATACTAATTAAAGAGAGACTCCTGCTAAATGAGTTATTTTACAGGTTATAATTAAAATAAATCAGAAATACTAACATACAAATGGTGACTAAAATGATAATTAAAATGGCTAGTATTTATTGAGAGCTTTTAAGTGCCAGGCTAAATGCTGAATTTTACATGCATCATATCTTTCATATTTTTATTTCTATTTTAGATTAGTAAAGTAGGTTACATGACAGTAAGTAACTTTTTAAAGGTCACACATTATAAATTTCAGTCAGAGGTAATTCCACTCTCTGTGACTACAGAGCCCATTGACTAAATTATTAAATTCAGCATCTGAATTATTGCAGTTGCTCATACAACTAAAGAGACCTTCACTCACTTTGACAACCAAAGGATCGTCCTGAAAGTTTGAAACAATGATGTTTTTCCATAAGTGACATATACTTTAATTATCATTTTATAGGTTCAAATCATACCATTAAATCAATTATAAATTATTTTATAAAATATTTTTTGTTGTTTAATTTTCATTATTGTGTAGGTTATAGATAAGTTTAGTGTATCATGTAAGATTTTTCAACATATAAAATATTTCTTTAAATTTTACTTGTTTCTCATAACTCCTAAACCATTCAAAATAAAGGACCATTTGGTAACCCCTTTAATAAATAAATGTAAGTCACTGAATAAATGCAATTTAGTGCAGGGAATTACTATAAATGCCAATAGTACTAGTCACCATCTTTAGAGCTGTCAGACTTTAACTACTTTTGGATTTCAAAATTATATTGGGTCTCCTTTTTCTAATAAAACATTTAAATTTTTTAATACAGGCATTCTAATGATTGGTGTTAAATATTTCTGTGGAGTTTGACTTTAATGAGAATGTTATTATTATAAACTTCTATATTCCTTACTATCTCTTTTTATGCTCCAATAAATAATATATCTACAAATGTAGAATATCTTTAAAAAATGTATTTAATCATGACACAATTGTTTAAAGCTCTAAGGCATTTAGAATCTGACCTTTAGTTTTTTCAACTGGGAATTGAGCCCAACTCTCACCCTTTACTCCGCCCAGTTTTACTCTACTAAGGATCTTGTCAATGCACATACCATTTATTCTTAAGTATAGTTACCTTACAGCATAGTCCCAGACACCAGTCAATTGCAGAGATGAGTAACCAAGGAGTAACCTATGCAGAACTGAATGTGGCCAAGTATTCAAAGAGACAGCAACTAAAACCTAAGGTCACAAAAAGCTCCATCTCAGTAAGTGAGCAAGAAATAACCTATGCAGAATTAAACCTTCAAGATGCTTCTCAGGATCTTCAAGGGAATGAAGAGAAATATCACTGCAAAGGTAAAACATTTAATAGACACACAGTATAACTGTTCTAGGATGTATAGTTGGGTTGCAGAGATGTGAGGAAACAATAGGAGATAGACTCACATTTTTTCATTTGTGAGGATCAGAACTTGAAGTTCGAATACAGTATTGTAACATGAAATCTCAGGACTAATTTTATTCAGGCATCATTGTAAGATGTAGTCTTTGACCAACTCGCAGAGCATTATGTTTCCTGAAAATGCAGTGGTGTATTCTGAGAGGATGATTACAATGGTAGATATGGTTTTGGGGTCCAAGCTTATGTATATGATTTCTTGTGCATGTGGATTCTCCCTGTGTAAACTGTCTAAGCAATTGTCTCCATCTATTCTTTCTCAGTGTTCCCATTTCTCTCCCTGCAGCTTTACCATCACCTCCAGAGAAGTTTATTGCTGGGGTCCTGGGGGTCATCTGCCTTGTCTTGATGTCCACTATAGCTGTTATTTGCCGTAAGTAAAATTTTGAAAGATCATAAGAGGACTTTTCAATTTAATGATCATCATTTTACTGTATGCATTTAGACCAAATGTGAAATGGTTCTTCTGAATTTGTCAAATGGTTCTTCTGAATTTGTCAAATGCTTACATTCAGAATGATTGTAGAGAATATATACATACATTTATATATTCTAATTTCATAACTCAAAAACATGCTTTAAGAGATTGAAGGATCTTACTAAGAAATGCAAATTCAATTTCAGAATGCTTAAAACAAATATTGTAAGAGATGGTAAATTTGGGGTCTTTAGGTTTTTAATATATATTTCCCCTAACTTTATTACTTTATTAATTTTCTTTTTCCTTGGTAAAATCAATTTTGTTACAGATAATTATAACCCTAGACAATAGAACAAATGTCAAATAAGAAACAAGAATTGTTATGATAAACAAGATTAATTAAATTTTTAAAGAGTTACTTTAATTTTTGTAGCTACTGTAATATGGGAGAGTAATTCATCCCCGACAACAAGGATCCAGAAAGGTACATAATGATTTTCAAAGTTCTGATATTAACACAGTTTATAGTTTGTCTCTATCTTAGGCTACATAAAAATGATATTGGATTTTGGGGGTACAACATGAAATATAAAATGAGCAATAAATATTTATAAATAATGATTATAAGAATGTTCTTTCTTATACCGCAATATAAGAAAATACTTATTTTAAATCACCATACCTACTGTTGCTGCTTGGCTCACATTTTCTACTGCTATACTATGATAAGAGATAAGTAATTTTACAATTCTTAAAAAATAGTTTCATTCATTGGTGTTTAGAACATGCGCAGAGCGGATATTTTTGTTTGTGTGTTTACTTTAGAAGGACACATAAATCAGGGGATGAGAGGTTGACTCGTCTTTGTGAGTGTGTGTACGAATGTGTTTTGTTTTATTTGTACCAGCCTAAGAGGGTGCATGGATATGTTATGCACAAATATGCTTATACCTATGCAAGTACATAAGTTAATTTTTATTTTTTAAAATAAAATTATTTTGGGGTGATAATTCATGATCTCTCTTCAGGATATCATTGTGGTTGTTGTCCAAAGGAGTGGTTTACATATTCCAACAATTGCTATTACATTAGTTCAGAAAGTAAAACATGGAATGAGAGTGTGACGGCCTGTGCTTCTAAGAACTCTACTCTGCTTTATATAGATAATGAGGAAGAAATGGTAAGATAGAATACGTTTCACATGTTTCATTAAAGATTTATTTCAGTCAATATTATATAATTGTAGAATTTATTTGTAGTTTTGTATATATTTGTAGTTATTTGTTTTAAAGTCTATAATATTCCATTGTTTGACTTTATAATGTTATATCATATTTTTATATCACTAATGCACATTTGATAATTTCTTGTTCTTGCTTTTCATAGAAAACTGTGCTTCTGTGAATGTTTTTTCCAAAATCAACTTAGCTACTTAATATATCAAGAAAACTAAACCTATCACGATTGAGCAGATTGATTACAAAGAGAATGGGACCATATAATATAAATTAGGTCACAAAATAGAGTTTGCAGTTCTCTGCAGCTCTGCTCCTATGTATTCTCTCATCACTTCTCCTCCCTTATCACTTAACCGCTGTCCTGACTTTAATATTAGAGAATCTCTTTGCTTGTTTTTGAACCTCATATAAATAAAATCCAACAGTACACATTTTTTTACTGTCTCTTTTTACTCTCATATAATATTGTTGAAATTTATGTGAATCATAGCGTTTATGTGCAGTTTGTTAACTCTCACTGCGGAGCTATGTAAATGTAACACTTTAATATCCATTCTATTTGATGTCTTTCATTGGGGATGTGAATCTCCTGTCAGAGATAAAGAGCCTTCTTGAGTCCAAAAATTTTAGTCTTAGGATCCCCTTTTCTGGTCTCATCTCCAAGTCCCCTACCCTGGTGTCTCCTGGACACCAGGAAGGAGAAGCGCTTTCCCTGGCTCACATTGTTAGCAGGTGTCCTGATGGATCACCTTGCAGGCTTGCCTGGTGTTGCTGGATGGGGTTCCCTCTCTAAAGCAGAAGTGAAATGGCTTCCCTGAGCCACCTCCTATTGTTAGGCTAAGTATTGGGAAGCAGCAGGCCTAGGTTATTTTCTTCTATTAAGTGGGGACATAAGAAACCCTGTTATTCTGTTGTTCCTTTATCTGAGGATACCAAATTATTTTCCTTTTCTCTTTCCACTTTTCAGAGTTCTCCTTTAACTGTATCTTTCATTAGTTCCAGAATTTATAGTTGTACTTAGCAAGGAGTAGCAGAGAAATGAGTCTCTGACACCTTGTCTGGGCCATTGGATTCTATCAACACAGAAACAGATCAATTTGGGACTTATCTGGTTAAATAGTGGTGTGGGGCTCAGAAAACCAAAGTTTTGGCTTCCGTGTTATTTGTTTCCTTAATTACAATCCCTTGATGTTTTTGAAAACCTGATCTCTGGGAAACATAGTAGAAAACTACATTGTACATTGATTT